TTGGCTCATTGATATAAAAAGTTTCACAGGTGTGCCCGCGATCCTGGTCGCATTAGGATAATTTTTTTTATAATTTATTTTATATAAGAAAAATATATATATATAAATATCAATACGAAGCCCGTTGCATAACACTGAATAGTCGAAGCCTGGTCGTGCGGGAGGCGGCGGTTATAATTTCTGTGAGGCATATACTGCTAGAGACACATATCGCTGTATATCCGAAGCTCTGCGGTGTTGCCTCACTTAATTATTCAAAAATTTAATAACCATCAATATTAAACGCACGCAGGCGAGTTCGGGCGCTAAAGTAACATAGGTATTTAAATAATAAATTTTCGGTGGCTTGTGTTATAAATTAATATTAATAGTATTGTAAAGATTTCTCTTTACCCCAGGTTCGATTAAAACAAGTTTTATGAAAAATTGATAAATTAAATATTTTGTGGCTTTGGCTCGTGATCGTCTTACCCAAATTTGGACCTCTACGCTGTGTTTACTTACTTGTTTTATTAGATGCATTGCTTTAAGAATGATACGTGGGAGAAATAGGTTTATAAGAAATAAAATACAGTGGCTTAATTTACCCCAATTTAATTTACGTTAACTTTTTACAAACAAGCAAGGGGTGGCTCTTAGGAGGGTTCGGCCAGGGAAAAAGAGCCTGAGAAAAAACCCTGGTCGGCTATGAAGTAGCAAAGGAATACGCGGTCAGGCATTGTACTTTAAAAATTACGCAAATTAATGTATTTGCGATATGGCTCGATACTGCATTTAAACAAAGATATAAAACTGAAGAATATTGGGGTTAGTTAGCCGGGCTAGGCCCAGAATGTAACGAGGTCCACAATGGGAGGCAACCCGCCTAGTTTAGTTGAAGGGTCGGGGAAAAGCGAAGCAACCCTAGAGAACCTAGGGCAACCTTGTCCCCTCACGGGAGAAAAATATTAGTCCATACAACAAAGGCCCACGCACACAAACAAGGAGTACTCAAAGTTGGAACAATAACGGTCAGCACTCCTGGTTAAGCACCGAGTAATTTCGCAATACATTAATAACTTTGGACTGATCATAAAACAATGCTTAACCACGTTATAGAAAAAGGGTACAAAATGATGGGTTAAGCACAAACAAAATACAAGGTTACATTGGAGTGGTACAAGCATTGAACATAACAAAGCATTAAAATTATAGTGATAATAATAAAAGCGAGAATAGGGGTGGTAATAGCTAAAAGAAAAGGATTAAAAATAACGTAAAATACCACTAAACGTAATAGAAAAGGGTAAATATACTCAGAATAGCAATAATTATAAAATAATAAGCTTAACAATTTGAAAATGCACAATATTACGTTTAGTTAATTTTACTACACATTTAAATAGAGTAAATAATTAGAACTAACCTTGTAGAATACACTAATAACACTTTTAACAATGATTTTAGAACAATAATTTACTTTTACAATTTTACCAAAGAAACGAACTGTACTGCACCGAATTCAAACTGCTTCTGCCGCATCTCCCTTTTTCGAAAAACTTTTTCGTTTACCTCTAAGGAAATTCCTCCCCCAATCTGCATGCCAGATGTACTCTTCCTTCAGCTTAGCGCGTACCTCTCTTGTTTGTTTGGCAAATTTTCTACCTAAATCTGAAATTTTACTTGCCTTAAACATAAAGTTTTATTACTTAATCCTATTTTAAAAGTCCAAAAATAAAATTATAAAAACATGTTTTCTAATAAATCTATACAGGGTGTTTCTTTTCGGAACCATTACAGTATAAATAATATACATTATATTATAATTATAAGTAATTAGATGCAGATTTAGTTATTATTACACGATAAATGTATAAATAAGCACATTCCTCCCCCTGTAGATATAATCAAAAAAAATAAAACAGAACTAAAAACGCTGAAACCTATATTAAGAAATTTAAGATCGAATTTGACTCTGCATCACCTACAACTTCAAAAAAGTGGTTTTTATAGTTATTTTATATTAATAATTCATATACTTAAGTTAAATATTAAACTAAATATAAATTTGTTATTAGTGTATAGTTTAGCCATCGTATAAGCGCTTTTTTTGTTTTGTTTTTTAGCTGCTTTTGTTTGTTTTTGTATGTGTTTTTTTTATCATGGGTCAATACAGGGTGTTATGTAATTAATGTTATATATTAAAATACTGAATACCTTTTGACATAAGGAATAAAGGAAAAATATTTAAAAAAACATTTTTCCAAAGATAAAGAAAAAATATGCATTAGAAGTTTTTTATATTTTTTGTGATACGCCACTGGTTACACACTTGTTTATCTCTGCACACCTGTATTTTGTGAGTACATAGATACCAACCAACAAAGTAGCTAGGCGTTGCCAGATGTAAAAAATTGTTACTAAAAATTTTTCTTGCAAAAAATAAAGAAAAAACTCAATAAATACAAAAGTTTTATGCCCTTAAAGCTCTAATACCCTTCTGTATTTATTTACTGATCCAGCTATTAGCTTAAGCAATGATTAGAAAATTTAGTACCTTTAAAATTTGAAATCCATAACCACAAAATAAATTTTTTCATCAGTTTTTTTCTCTGTTTACTCAGATGAAATTGGGACCAGTTCACAGGTTAAACTTTAAACATTTTATTTGTGTAAATAAATCCAAAAGCACTTCCCTTAGTTAAGATATTTACAATTTGAAAACATAACCTAAAATTTAAAAGAAATGCACTAGATTCTGTCATAAAAGTTGGCAGATTCTGTTTGAATTTACCTTCAGTACAAAAATGAAATAACCAACAATTAATAAAAACGCCAAATTGACAATTTGCTTTGTTAATTTTGTCATTTTGGTAATTAAGCTAAATTTAAACAATGCTTGGCAACTTTTTTGAAAGATTTTGGAAAAACTGTTGTTACCAACCATAACATAATAAATCCACCAGATTAACCTAAAGTTCCTAGTCGATCAGTGGCGTACTTTTTGGTAGGATAAAGGTTATTATAAATTATTTTTAGACTTTGGAATTTAGAAAAAAAAAGTTTCAGGTGCTTCTTTATGGACCCTAAGGAACAACCCATTTTAATATATAACATTAATTACATAACACCCTGTATATAAGAGACTTTGATGAATATTCCTATAATACATACTCAGTAAATAATATTTATGAATGTGGCAAGGTACTGAAGGTTTTAATTTCTTTAACTCAAATATTATAAGTTGTTCAAAAAATTTCGATGAGCTAATTGTCTTTTTAAATAGTTGTGAGGTAGATTTTGACTGTATAGTGTTATCAGAGACATGGTATGTGGGTGATAAATCATTATTTAATATTCCTGGTTACACACTATTGTACAAAAAAGTAGATAGTGTATATTTTTCCTTTTTTTTAAATTTAGCCTAGTTCCTCTGCAGAGGAGATCGTAGCTATTAGAGTTAGATTTTAAGAGCGGTAGTTAAGTTAGCTTTAGTAGGGCAAGTTTTGCGTCCCTGTGTAAAAACATAATTCCTTAATCATTTTCGTCAGGCCAACATTGGAACCCCAACAATTGTTGCTACGATAGTCACAGCGAGATCGTACGGCCTGTAGCTAAAACCCATCCAAGTGGTGATAGAACAACATCGTGCCTTTCACCACACTGAGTTACCACGATTTATACCGTCTGGTGTAGTAACTGTTATTTGTTCATATGTCTTTAATTCCGATCAGGCGGACACTGAGTTGTCGCTATAGCATGCACGGTGAAGCCATATCGCCTGTAACACCTACCGCCCAGCCCAATCCAATGTGGTTCCAGTTAGCGCAACTGGCCACTGGGGCACTTCCTATCCCTACTCGGAATTCGTTCCGAGTAGTTTTTCTTTTGCACGGTATGTCAAGGCGACATACCGTATGATTTGCGAATAATGTACTGCACATTATTTCCATTCGTTGGAGGGCTGGCCTGTTTCAGATACAGGACCACCGGTTGCCTCTCTCTTTTTGTTTCTTGGACTAGTTCCCAGCGTAACTGGGTTTGTCAGGATCCTTACTCTTCAAGGAGAATTTTCTTTCCATTTAGTTTAACCTTCTTACGTTTTAGTTGCTTAAAGATTCGAGGCGTCGCATGACTAAGGGTCTGCTTCGTCCCTCTTCACAATTGTCACCATTTTACATTTTGATTTAGTTTGTTTCGTTTACTTAAAAATAAAATTTAATTAGGTATGAAATATTATTTTTCCGGGAAGGGGTGTGTTGTAGCATGCTCATTTTATGCTACGAGTTTTAATCAAGCAAACCGCGGTTTTCACATTTTTATATTAAGTTCATAAAATATTTTGTTTTAACATTTTTACCTTGGAACAACCCTTAATAATTTGAACCTTGGAACAACAATGCTTCGGTGTAGTTTTTATCCTTAGATAACAAAACTTTTATCTAAAATAAAGATTTATAGTGAGGAAACACGTTATTTAGAGCTGTACTTATTATGTTTGACGTTCAGTTAAATTTGCAATGATTAAACATTAATCACTTACAGTTATAAATGTTACGATTGTGTTTTCAAATGCTCCACCGTACTGCAGTTTGGGAGACCTATGTTTGTTTAACTTTTGTTTACAGCCCGGCCGGATGTTACTTCAGTGAAGACAAGCAGAGTCAAGCCCCGTTTAGTTCTTGGGTTTCCTTATAACTTTAGTATGCCAGTAATTTCATAGTCTAACCTTAAAGTGAACAAATGTATCTATGGGGCCGTTCAAGTATTACGTAAGCAGATTTCTTACCATTTTTTACCCCCCCGCCCCCCTTGTCATAAAAAGTAAGCAAAGCTCATACCCCCTCCCCCTATGCTTACGTAAACATTTTTAGTTATAAATGTTTTTTTATATTGTCATTTTAAAAATAGGAAAATCCATGGAAAGATTAGGTTTAACTGATACACATAGAGTAAGGGACAAAAATATTATAATCAGAAATAAATAACATAACAAACATAAAGAACATTTTTGGTACACATTAACAGTCTTCAGTCCATGAAACCTGAATCCATGATTCTAAGTTATCGATGACATTGGATTGCTGCTCAGTGTTGTGAGTCTGCTCACTTTCTTTCGATTTTGGAATGTCTACGTCACTCTCATCGAGCCATTCAACATCTTGGTGCTCTAAATTTTGAATAATGCACATCACTTCATTAGCACGACGAGCAGCGACTCTTACAGGTCTAACTTTCCTCTCAGTGGGCGTGTTTACTTTTTTATGGATCTTCTCGATGTGACGATTTAATGACTTGACGGAAGCATGATAAAGACCACACGTTTTGCATGTTCGACTTGAGAGCCTCAATTTTACCGTCGGACAAAAATAATCGTAGGGCATTTGCAGGAAATCTTTGAGTTTAGTACTTAAGCGTAGAGCTAAATTGACTGGAAGATCAAGAAATTGTCCTTCTTCATCCAAAACCAAGTCATCAACTGTTTGTTTTACTTTTACAGGTGGTGGAAGAAACCTGTTGTCTAGTAATCTGAATAGGCCACTTCTTGGAAGACAGCATTCTGTATTTTTATATTTTACAATTTGAAGCAAGTATTGGCTTTTACGCACATGTTTTGAGTACCATTTAATGTCTGGAAATTCAGGAACATCTTGTTCACCAGCCTCAACATATTTTGCAGTAACATTATAGCCATCAATTTCCATTGAACTCCATATTTCAGCTAATACATTTCCTGCAAATTCGAAATTAGTTCTTTCTAATTGTTCATTAATTGTAACGCCGCATTCATCCAAATGAGACCCAAAATGGTCATGAGGCAATATTAAACCAGCCAGTTCCCGACTCAGAGGAGCCATTATGCGCTCTACTCTGTTATACGCACTCCTTCCAGGAGCATTAGCAGCTATAAACAATGCATCGAGATCATGTTGTTTAAAATGTTGTATAGCAAACCCTATGACTTTTTGATAACGCGGATTTTCATCTGGCCGTCCATCAACCGTCATGATTACTACTGGTTTTACTAGTCCATGGTCAGTTTTAGCTAATGGTCGAAACTCTTCAAGTTCGAGAAGCGTCTCGAAATCCTGAGCATGAGTAGATGAACTATGCTTTCCACTTCGAATGTATGTTGGTCCAGAATATCCAACGGCTTGCGGTTGTCCTAGCATACTGGAAGTAATTTTGATACCAGCATAAACAGATGGTATTAATTTATGACGCTCAGCGATTACCCAATCGTGGTCAGGCAATTTAATTCTATATTCAATGTGCATTAAAAGAGGTGCTTGCTTATTTGCCGCAGTTACGCCAATAGGGACTCGAGCTTTATCATCTTGAGATAAGAAAAATACTTGATCTGGTCCAAGTATGGATGCTATGTTCTCTAAATAATCGATTGATGTTTCAGCGAACTTGCTATCTAAGTGGCTCTTGTGGTGATCAGTTTGAGCCCGAATGAGCTTAACAGGGACTGTCGATACATGTCTTCGTCCCTCTGTAGAATTAGATTTTCTGGGAATCAAACGACGATATGTCGCACTGCGACTAATGTCAAATCCTAGTTTACGCAGTTCTTGTGTGAGTTCGTCAAGAGTTTTTACGCTGCGAATAGATTCCGTTCGTCTTCTATCATCACATGCACTCCCAAATAAAGCTATATCCGCAATTGTTTTCAATAGTAATGGTTGATCGCTTTCAAGATTAGAATGTCCCACTGAATCCCTCAGAGATAGTCTTCTTTTTATTTCTGGATTTTCCTGACAAATATCTTCTAACTTTCTTTTCATACCATCCCTGTGTTTCTTCTGGGCAACTGCGTTTTGAGTCTTCCTGTTTAAAGTCTTTTTTGTTGTTTTTAGTTCCTCACGCAACTTAATGATCTGTTTATCAACTTCAGCGCGATTTGGCATAGTATCTCTGGCAGAATACAAAGTGTTCAGATTTTTTTAGAGTAGAGTTATCTTATTTTTCAAAGCTTCCTGAGAAGGTTTTGCTCTTTGTTTATCTGCATTATCATTATTTTCGCATTGCTCTTGTGATTCATTGCCGGTTTTGATTTTATCTTCTTCCTGTTTTTCAATGTTCGAAGCTGGCTGTATAATTTCTGTTTTTTCTGCAGGTTTACTGGTAGAAGACGTTGCCTAAAAATGAAAAATTTCTATGAGTTCTGCTGGAGATTCTCTTATTAAGCTACATAAATACACCGTATATAATAAAAACAGCGTTTAAATATTATTGAAAGCTTTTCCCTACAGAAACCCTTCACATACAGAAAGTATGTACCGAAAACACCGTGTATTTTGTAACCAATTGACGGAGTTGATCTTAAGAAATAAAATATCAAATAATTTTACCTCTATACTTTGAGATAGGCCATCATATTTTCTAATCATAAAACGTTTTTATTGTTACAAAACGTAAAGAGAAACTACTCATATTCCACTTACCTTGGAAAAAAAATCAAGCAGATTGGATTTATTTTTAGTCGCTTGCAATTCTTCTTTAATTCTCTTAGAAACAATAATATCTAGTTCCTTGTCTGACTTTGCTTGTAATTTATAATTTCGCCAAACTTCGTTAACTAACTTTTGTACATCTTGTACTTTCGTCCCTGTATGAGATTTTTTAAAATTTTCAAACAGTTTTTGGTATAACTTGGATTTGTCTATATGACACGACATTCTAATAAGATATTTAAATAATTAAAACGTTAAACTTTGGCTAATTGCATCAACGGTAACACAAATGATAACTTTCAATGCTTACAATACGTTTAGTATCCAAACAAAACAATACTGATAGATTCATTAATTTGACAAGTGAATAGCGCGCGGTAATTTCCCTAATGCGCGGTAATTCCCCTAATCGGTTTTCAAAGCGAGTGCCTAAACATATGCATTATTTGCGGGAATCCCCGAAAATGCGTTTCGTTTTCACGCATAGACGATGTGAGAGTTGCCTTTCGTGTAAAAAAGTAAATAACTAACGATGACGTAATCATCATCTAGACCCCCCTACCCCCCATGTCATCCAAAATAAGCAAAACAGGGCACTTGTCGACGTTCGAATTACATAACCTCTACTTGTTGAGTTAATCGATTTTTATTCGGGCCATCAGTCCTAATCCAATGTTTCCTTACATTTATATCAGGCTCGGATCGGCATGTGGATCAGCTCACTTTTGTATTTTTCCGATTTAGGCAAATCCCGGATTTTATTTTCACATATTATGACGTGTGTGCTTTGGTCTTGGCGATTTTTTTCCCTCTCCTACAAGTTGGTAGGAATGACGTTTACCTAAAGCCAGATAAATTAATCTGTAAGTACAATTAGCGTTGATTGGGTTTTTTCCAATTTCTATTCTCCTTTTTAGGGCTTTTACCTTATGTTGACTTGTACCTTATGGTTAATTTTACCTTATGATCAGTTTCTTGCCTGACAACACTGTCTCACGTAATTGTTTTTGACTCGGCCTGACGCCACTTCCTGTTTTGACTGCCTACAACACCGAAAAACCACACCGCTGCTTGTCTTCACAGAAGCCGTCAGCTGGAGAAACATCAACTCACCAACCGCTCACTGGAGGATGTAAATTTGAGTATACTATTTTAAACCTTTAAATATTGAACTGTGTCACTATATTATTTTTGTTGCGGCTTAAAAGCCGACTTTATTATTTTTGTTGCGGTTTAAAAGCCGACTTATTTTATTTTAATGTGAACCGACGATACGCATCAAAGGTAGAGTTGTTTGGTTTTACATGGTTTATATACCAATATTTTACAACAATTTTATAATTTTGACTTGGTCGAATTCAGCACACGAGTATGTGGCGGAATGTTTAAGATTAGACTTCTTAAATTATACATTTTATTATAGTATATCCTCTTTAAATTTACATACCTTCAAACACTCAGCGTAAACTAAGTTAGATTAAATGACCGGTCTAATTTTGTTTTTTTCTACAAAAGGTCATTTGGCGCCCACAAGGTAAGCTGCTGCACATTTACGAGATTACAAGAATCTTTATCTTTTGGTTTGTATTTTTTTTGTTGATATAAACACGTCAGGATTTTTGTTTGAGAACCCACATAACTTTAACCCTGCTCTCCACTGCATTAACCAAAAAGCTGCCATACGCATAAAAAGTCGTGGATTAAAAATAACACGCCACAGCCAATACAATCAAAACTACGGTGTTATAATTTATATAAAAAATAGTTTAAACTTTATATATTCTATTATTCAGTTTAATTTGTCTAATTTACTACAGGTAAATATATTCATCAAAAACAAAATTATAAAAATATTAAGTATTTATAGATCCCCTGCTACAGACGTTAAATACTTCACTGAAGAACTGCAATCATATTTAGAAAATTATACAAAACACTCTGACGACTATCACATTTTCGCTGGCGATATCAATATAGATTTGCTAAAAAATAATAACGAGACCTCTATATACCTAGACACTTTAAGTGAATTTAATTTCAAATCAGAAATTAACTTACCCACAAGGAAAATGTCATGCCTAGATCACATATTTTTAAAAAGTAAAGTATTTTATTTATTTATTTACTTATTCTCAAACAAACACAATATAAAATTGTTGTTACATGTAAGAGTGCCTATACCCTAAGTTATATCCTATATAAACTAAATCTAAAACTAAAACTACAAAAAATCACAATTAAAAAAAGTTTGGATTTCCCTAACACTTGTATTAAAAAAATCAATATCACAATTATCAATTAAATTATTGCACTGTACCAACATAAAATTAAGCGGCGAACAGTCTTTTTTATTTATAGAAAACAGTCTTTTATTCTTTATCCTTAAATTAATTTTTGGCACTGAGATTTTAATATTATTTATAATAAACAGATCTTTATACTTTAAATTATTTACGATATAAAAAACAAACAAAACAGCTTGCATATTTCTTCTTTTTGCGAGAGTATTAAAATTAAAATCTTTTAACATAGACACATATGATACCATATATGGATAAATATTATATTTCCTTACATATAAATATCTAAGAAATCTTTTTTGTACTTTTTCAATGAGATCAATGTTAACTTCTGCTATAGGTGACCAGATAATACATGCATATTCAAGATGAGGCCTTACTATTGCATTGTATAATTTAATAATGGATGAAATGTGTTTAAAAAATTTTGAATTTCTAAGTACACTACTCAAAAGAGTCTAGGGATATTCTAAATAATTATATATAAGTTAAAAAAAGACGCACAGTATAAATACATTTTATTAAATTATAAATTCATTGTTTGTTACTGTGTACTTTTACAACATTAATAATTTTTTTTATTAACCAAACAAAAAACATGTCGATGTTTTGCAAAACACTACTTTTTGCATAAGGAAATAATTTTACGTTTTTCATTTTAAAGACAGTATTTAAAGTGTGCTTGGTATATTCACTATGCAAAGAGTTCATTTGACCGAAGAACAGCGGTTACGCGCTGTTGGAATGCTCGAAGCCGGCCAAAACCAAGTGCTAGTAGCAGATACTATAGGCACCTCTCAAAGTGTTGTTAGTCGCCTTTGGAGTAGATATTGTGAGACAGGGAGTGTAAGTGAAAGACACCCAGGCCGTGGAAGAATAACTACCCCAGCGCAAGACCGGTTTGTACAACTACAAGCAAGAAGAAACTCAAATTTGACCGCTACACAACTGGTACGAAATTTACAGCAGACCCACAATCTAACCATTTCCGGTCAAACCATAAGAAATCGCCTACATGAGATTAATCTTTGGAGTAGACGACCTTTGAGAGTTCCACCACTAACCAGGGGCAATCGCAGAGCACGGGATATCTGGGCTAGAGAACATCTTGCATGGACAGATGAACAGTGGAGTCATATCTTATTTACAGATGAGTCTAGATTTGGAATTTACCCGGATTCAAGAAGAATACGAGTCTGGAGACAACCAGGAGCCGAAAACCGTCTTCGTAATGTTCAAGAGGTTCATACATTTCAAGGTGGAACAATTATGGTTTGGGGCGGAATAACATTAGGCGGAAGAACAGATCTCGTTCGATTAGAAGGAACATTAAATTCAGTCGCATATATGGATTTGATACTCCGTCCTGTCGTTATTCCATTCGCACAAAATGCAGAGCCCGAATTTTGTTTAATGCATGATAATGCACGCCCACATACCGCAAACGTTGTTAGAAATTTCCTTCGAACTAACCAAATCCCTGTTTTACCGTGGCCTGCTCAGTCGCCAGACCTTAACCCGATTGAGCATGTCTGGGATATGCTACAGAGAGGCGTTCTAAGGGTTAATGATTACTTTGAGAACCAAGAGCAGCTCTTTAATTGCCTTCAAGACGTATGGACCAGATTACCTCAAAATGAGCTAGATAATTTAATCCTAAGTATGCCTCGTAGATGTAGAGCAGTTGCAAACAGTAGAGGAGGTCACACTCGGTACTAAGAACACAAGCTTTTATTTTTTTCGTATTGATTTTGTTAATTCATTTATAATAAATTTTATTAATCAAGTTTGTAATTTTTATTTGCGAAGAATAAAAATTGTTACCACCTAAATTTTGATTTATTTTATATTGTTAGGACTTTTTAATTGAAAACAATTACAAAATAAAATAAAAAAATTAATAAAGAAGTTTTTAATTTCACTTAATCATAATATCCCTAGACTTTTTTGAGTAGTGTATAAATCCAAGTACCCTAAATTCCTTATAGTGAGTATTAAATTTCATATTTGATTGCAGATACACACCCAGATCTTTACATTCATAAATTCTAGTTAAGTTAATATTATTAAGATCATAAGTCCTATTAATAAATGCAAGTTTACGAGTATATGTTATGGTAGCACACTTATCTACATTAAGAAACATTTTATTCT